TGGTCGCGTTGCTCGCAAAAAATCCCCAACCTTTCAGACACGCCCAGCTCCAAGATTTTCAAGATTTTTTAAAAGCTGCTGTGTGGACGGGGACCTAAAAGGACAGCTAAATGCACGGTAGTCCATTTTCACCAGGCCCAGCAACAAGAGCAAGGCTGCTACCATAGCATCTTATCGTGTCAGTCACGTTCTTGCGAAACACATGAAGTCTTTCAAAGACGGCGAAGTTGTGAAAGAAGCATTCCTGGAGGCTGCCGAAGCGCTTTTGGGGGACAATAAAAATAACAGTAGCATTTCAACAGGTTTTTGATATAATAAAAACTCAAGTTAGATACGTTGTTAATCAGCTGTAAGTTTTAGTTTGTTTGAACGTATTCATTATAATTATTGTAAACATTGGTATAAGAATGCAAACAATAAGATCTGTTCTGTTTAAATTGATTATAGTCTATTATCAATTCAGGTTAAGAAACTAGTGTTGCTTGCATCCTATTTTAAAGGCATTTCTTTTTATACTCTACTAAAATGCAAAAAAAAGAAAAGGGTTTGATTCTATTAATTTTGTCTTTTGTATTGCACTTTGTCAGCAGATTCCTGTGTAGCTTCAGATCTGAGTTGTCTTATTAGTAAGCCTAATTTATAGTCTTTTCTTTTTTTCCTGTGTCATATGTGGCAGCACTGTTCAATGTTTCTTGAAAACATTACCCACTGAAGTATGTGACGTGTGAATAAACTCCAACTCTGTATCAACAACACTGTTGTAACTTCAGTTAAATACTTGTATGTGTGTAGATTAGAAAGAGGTAAGATAAAGGATCTGCAGTATTTTATGAATTATTAATCATACAAAGGTCATTTTTATACAAGTAGAAGTGTGTATTTACCTGTAAAAGTAGCTCTCGGTTAAAAAAAGGTTGGGCACCCCTGATGTAGTCTGACGATACATTTGTAAAACCAATAGACTGTTAACACCGTGTTGTTTTCCAGATGGCCGCTAGGGGACAATAAGCGCTGCAGTCTTCTTCGTTTATTTGTACATGACGTCATTCCGCTTCCTACTTCAGCGTGTGCAGAGCTAACGTTGCAAAACTTTAATTCATTATTGTTATTTTTACGGTGTTTTGTCTGGAAAAATAAAGCCACAAATACATAATTATAGACGGCTGCTAAAGGATGTATCCTTTAAGTGTTCTTACCGGGAGCTTGTGAGCTGCATCTCAAGCTAAAACAACACTTGTAGCTGGAGTTAGCTAACACACAGCCTGCTACTTCCACCATAACAACAACGTTGTTTGAGCATTTTGAGAAGCGGTAAGTGAAATCAATGAGTAGCTTATGTGTCAAAGAAATAACTGTACGTTAATGTTTTTAATCTAAAGTTAAAGCCCACCCTGCAAAAACAAAAGCAGACTAGCTCACTAGTGCACCATTGAAATGTAAGGTCTAGTGAACTGTCAAGGAATATAGCTAGACATACTAGTTTAGCTAGAGCTAGTTTTTACTTTCCCAGGACTGTCAACATTTTTACTTTCCCAATTTGCATTTTACTTACCAGAAAAACAAGTGAGACTAGGTTGTATCTCTAGTTTTTACATAGTCTCTACATAGTCTTCACACTTAATGCTGTGAAACATACGTCGTTATTTGGACCATTTTGCACATTTCTGCAAAAAACTTCAACATCTAAAAACGTCAATGCTCTTTCGTTTTAATACAAACATGTTTAACATACTTTATCTTATTTGTTTCAACGTATTGACGTCATTTTATTATATTCTTTATTTCTTGTTCCTTCTTATGTGTGTTTAACAAGTTTAGCTCATAGTCATTCCTTCATTTTTAAATGTTACCTTCTTTCGTCCTGCGGTAATCAACCATTTTAATTTAAAAATAAAAATCAAGTATTAAAAAGTCAGGGAAAATTAAAATGATGACTTTACCTATGTGTAATAAACAACCTATGTTGGATGTTTGGTTGTAGCCACCGGCTTCCTTTATATTTTAATATTCATCATCAGCACCAGCATTAAGAAAAACGATTGTCCTTGAACAGGCACCATGGCCAATCTGGAGCAGTGGGTGAATGACCGTCTCCATGACATTCTCGGGTTGAGTGACAGATATGTGTCTCAATTCATGATCGGCATTGCAAGGAGAGCCTCCAGTTCTGAAGACTTTGTGGAGCGACTGGAGAAGACGGGCACGATTGACATTGAACCGAGTGTGGTTGCCTTTGCGAAAGAGCTTTTTGACAAGGTATGGAAAAGCTCTATTATTGATGGGGTTTTTATTCTTCTTTTTTGTCCGTGCCGTTCTATTCTTGCTATATGAAGCACATTGGGATGCATGATTGTATTACAAGTGTGAGTAAGAGTTTAATTGAGTTTAGACTTTTTGCCAAAACATACATAGTTCCATAGTTGTTGTAGTTCAGTATGGTTTTGGTGGAATAAAACCTCTAACAATCTTTCACCATGCTTGTTATAGATTCCTCGCAAACAGGTTGTGGAGAAACCAGCCCGGGCGATGGAACGGGAAGCCATTGAAATGGACAAGAAGAATCGGACATACACATTACTGGAGGACAGCGACAGTGATGGAGAAGTTGTGGTTGAGAAAGAGAAAGAGAAAGGAAAAAAGAAAAGCAAAGACAAAGGGAACAGGAGGAAGCACATCAGACAAAAGAAAGAGAGTGAGTCTTCAAGTGAGGAGGAAGCACCTAAACGGTAATTCAGATATTCTTTTTTTCTTTTTTAAACTGTTTCCAACCAGAGAAAAAACTGTTTACACAGTCCCACCTATATTAACATTAAGAATCGACTTACCGTGGCAATATTTAAACCTGATTGTAACCTGTTAAAAAAAAAAAAAAAACCTGTTAAACCTAACCTAACCTGTTAAAAAAAAAAAAAACCTGTAAGAAGAACACAATGAGAGATGGTGAGTAATTGGATGTAAACAAATGAAGAAAAGAGTAGCAAATTACAAATATTTTTTTATCCAGGGACTACTAAGGTTAACTTTGGGTACTTGTAATACTGGGGTGCTTTATATAACTGATGACTAATGCATGTTGTTTCTAATATCGCGGGCAATTGAAGCCAAGGGGATCAGAAGTCTCTCAAGAACAACGACGATGAAGAAGAAGAAGAGTGGGAGAAGGAAGAAAGAGAGCGACAGCAGGACATTGAAGCGCGAGATGCATTTGCAGAGCGAGTGAAGCTGAAAGACAAGGACAAGACCCGCAACATAACAGAGAGGACTGACAAGAAGGTGGGAGACAAGAACATTTTCAACACATCACAGGCATTTGATCAAATACAGCTCAATGTATCAAGCAGCTTAACATCTTCACCTTTTGTTTGTTTTTCTCCAGGCGTATGAGGAAGCTCAGAAGAGGCTGAAAATGGCTGAAGACGACCAGAATAACATGGTAGACTGACGAGTTTCAAATGTTATATTGATAAGCAGCATAATATGTCATGGTCACATGTATTCTTCTTAATTACTTTACCCTTAATATATGGTTTGAGAGAATTAAAAAAGTTGTTAAATATCTAACTATGTACTATAGTTTCTGATCCACCCGTTCCTGCGTTTCTCTCTAGTTGCCAGAGTTGAGGAAGCGCTCTCGCTGGGATTACCTAAAGAAGAGGGAGGCAGAGAAGCTGGAAGATTTGGAGGCAGAGATCCATGACGACGAGTACCTTTTCCATACAGACGAGCTGACTGAGAGGGAGAGGAAGGAGTTGGAATACAAACGCAACCTCCGAGACCTGGCTAAAGATTACAAGAAGGCTGGCGCCAAGGAACAGGATGAGAGGAAGAACAGATACTACATGCCGGAAGAGAAGAGAAACAAGGTGGGAACGAGGGATGTGACACTCTGAGACAATGTGCGCAAACGGTCAGCTACTAAAGTGTGCGTATGTGGTTTGATTGTTTAGGAGGTGCCACAGAGGGACCTGGAGCTGGAGGAGCATCCCATGGAGATGGGAGGAGAGCAGGGCCGCTGGGAGGAGGAGAGGCTGAAGACGGCCTCCCTCAGCTTCGGGGCCAAGAGGGAGAGAGAGCAAGGGATGAGGCTGGAGCAAGAGAAGTACCAGCTGATCCTGGAGGAGGACGAGATGATCGACTTCGTCAGCACTGCTATCACCATGAAGGGAACTCGCACTGAAGAGGTGCGTTTCTTTTGATACTTCTTGGTTATTCTTTCGAAAGCTCCATTTTTGTTGCGATTAAATCAATTGGGCTAGTATTTGTCCAGTCGGTTGTTCTTGATGTCACTGCTTGAGGCTAAAAGCTTGAGGGTATATTTGTGTCTACTAGCATAACAGATTTATTAGTAAGCCCAATTACCCAAGCACAGTTTTTTGACACGGAATATTCCTGGTTTGGATGCATCGATTTTAATAATTGTTTAGTGTGCAAACCGGTCGAGTAATTTTCATAGAAGGCTCTTCACAGAATTGTGATATTGCACTGATGTGTTGGAGCAAAGGCAACACCATGACAACAGTATTTTTGGTTAAATTAAACAGTTACGTTCTGATGAGATTAGATTTGAGTATAACGGTTTTTTAAGCGTTGAAAAAATGGCAACCGGAATAAGAGCACAGTTATAATCCCTGCAACATGGGCTCCCTTCGTCTAATTGTTTCACTTTGGATTAGCTGCCTAGTCTACTGTCTGCGACACCTGGTGGTAAGATGTGGGACACCAGTCTGGTCTGTGAGTTTAACGTTAAAACAAAAAACTGTGAAATAGATAATGCCAGAGATCTGAAGTAGGCCTTTTTTATGTGACTATGTTGTGTTTAGGAAGAGGAGGCCATAGCTCTGTCCCAGGCGGAGATGAAGAAACAGTCGATGCAGGAGGTCAGACGCAGCCTGCCCATCTTCCCCTACAGAGAGGACCTGCTGGCTGCCATCCAAGAGCACCAGATCCTGGTCATTGAGGGGGAGACGGGCTCTGGCAAGACCACCCAGATCCCGCAGTACCTCCTGGAACATGTGAGTGCAGTTCCTAATGTTTCACAGCATCATGATACACTCGGTTATTAACCATGTTACTTGTAGGAAAATAATAATAATAGATTTAACTTGTTAGCGCTTTTACAGGTGCTCAAATACGCTTTACAGATATAGTGAAGAGAAAGGAACAACAAATAAATATATACCGTAATTTTCGGACTATAAGCCGCACCTGAATATAAGCCGCAGCAGCGGCATACCACTCTCGGTTCCACTTTTACTTTTGCGCGCTACCTGTCTCACTCTTTTCCGGCCTCCAGCTTTTCCTGCTGGAACCCGCCGCTTAAAGGTGGGGGTCCGCGGACCGGCCATAGAGCCCATAGAGTTAAAGGTGTTGGCCGTTAGCTGTAAAAATCCATAGATTAGCCGCACCGTTATATAAACCGCAGCGTCGAAAAATAGGGAAAAAGGCGCGGCTTATAGTCCGAAAATTACGGTAGTTAAAGTTAAAGTCAAATAATACTAAAACAATTACACATTAAAAGCCAGATTGAAGAGGTGAGGTTTTTGAAGGTGATGAGGTCAGTGCAGTCTCTGATGGGTTGTGGGAGTTATGGGAGTGAGAAACATGACCAGAATACATAACAGAAGTCCACTCAAAGGCAATAACATGAGATACAAGTCAACATAGTAATGAAGAAGTTAAGAATATAAACAAATCCAAGTCTGTACTGATGCTACCCATCATTGTTCCTCTCTCAGGGCTACACACAAGGAGGCATGAAGATCGGATGTACTCAGCCTCGCAGAGTGGCAGCCATGTCAGTGGCTGCTAGAGTGGCTCAGGAAATGAGCGTTAAGCTGGGTAACGAGGTGAGCTTTGCACACTATCATGCTGATCCCATTTGTCTTTTAAACACTTTTAATTATTTGTGGATTTGGCTAAAGGAAATCATTTTGGATTCACTATAATTCATGTTTTTGTGTATTACTAGTTTTTAAAAACGTTTGGCCGTTTTGTATTATCAGTGTTTTTATGTTTTTGTTTCTTCATCCAGGTGGGTTACAGTATTCGTTTTGAGGACTGCACATCAGAGAGGACAATTCTCAAGTACATGACAGACGGCATGCTGCTCCGAGAGTTTCTCACTGAGCCTGACTTGGCCAGCTACAGGTAATGCAAAAAAGGAGATACATATCTTCTCATCAGGTTTTCCTTATTTTTTTTTTTTTACAAGTCTTTTTATTTCATTATAGTGTTCAATAATCGATGCCATTTCATATATTGTAATATCACAGTACACTCACTACACTCCCGCCTCCCTCCCTCCACCCGCACATGCCCACACTGACGAAACCAAAAACATTTAAAAAAAAAAAAGGTTTTCCTTTTTAACCTGGTTTGATTTCAGCATTCATTTTTCATTATTTGTCTTTGAAAGATAGTGGTTTTCATTCATTTTGCTCTCATGACCTCATCACACTAAACACATTGAACTTTTAATTTGGGTCAGGCGTTTTTGAAATATCAGTTAGTATTTATTTCATCAACACCCTCCACTGACATCCCTAAGTGTACCTGTATGTTTGGTCCTCCCCTCGCCCTGCAGTGTAGTCATCATAGATGAAGCCCATGAGCGGACGCTCCACACAGACATCCTGTTCGGTCTGATCAAAGACATCGCCCGCTTCAGGCCTGACCTGAAGGTGCTGGTGGCGAGCGCCACTCTGGACACCGAGCGCTTCTCCTGCTTCTTTGACGACGCGCCTGTCTTCAGGATCCCTGGCAGGAGGTTCCCCGTGGATATCTTCTACACCAAAGTAGGAACTAGCATATCCATTTAGTTTTTGATACATATGATATTACATTATATCTGGTAATTAGTGAATGTTGTCTGCTTGATGAAAAAGGGACAGCGAAATAAAACACTGTATGAAATATTGCCACTTTATCTTATTAACACAAAAGTAAGTATGATTAAGATGATATCAAGATTTTATTTTCACAGATCACTGCTTTTGTTCATACCAGTTTATCATGATAGAACACGATTTATTCTATAGTTTCTCTTAGTTATAATATTTCTTACTTTTACAAATATGAATGAACAATAGATAAATAAGGTTGTGATGAGTAAAGACATCATACTAGAGCCAGGGACAGATGTACAGTCTCTATCACTCTCAGATGTTATCACTATGGGGAAATTCAAGTCCGTCTTAAAGGACAGAGAACAAGAAACCATTAGTAGATGTGAGTGCTCGTATATACCAACATTTAAGTTGTTTTAAATGTAGCCAGTTTTGAATGATTTTTCTTTTCTTTTGCATATTGACCGGCTCATGTGCCATTTTATTTGTGTTTTACAGCTGTATTTGTCTGCCTGTATTGCCTGTGTTAATTTGCTGCCCTCCTTAGCCAGGTCGCTCTTGGAAAAGTCTTGACCTGGTTCAATAAAGGATATATACATATATTTATGTGGGTCACCAAAAAGAAAAATATGTCCAAAGTTCCTCAAGGTCAAATGAAACTATATAATCTCTGCTTGCAAAGATCACACTGCCCTGTTGATGTCCGTGTCTGTGTGTTGTGTCGTCAAGGCTCCAGAGGCAGACTACCTGGAAGCTTGCGTGGTGTCGGTGCTTCAGATCCACGTCACCCAGCCGCCCGGAGACTGTCTGGTCTTCCTCACTGGACAGGTATTGTTCATCAAGATTTTTATAAAGAGATTTAAAGTTTTGGAAACGATTGTAATGGGAGATTGGGAGTCTATTTTGTATGTTATTGGTCGATTTTGGAATTAATCATTAAGATATATTCACCTCAAAACTCCTCAGCCTGTTTGTACAGACATATAAGCTTCCTTGTCTTTAGCACATTCAAGACATGGTTCTAACTATAATGTGTGTCTGAGAGTGCTGTATGGTTCAGTTTAGAACAACAAGCGTTAACCAGTTCAGTTCAGTTCAATCAGGTTGATGTGAAAAAGGCCAAACAAACTCTTGCTGACTAAACGATTGTATCAAGAAAAGGAAGAAGGAGATACCGACCTCTTGTGTTTTCTTGCAGGAGGAGATTGAAGCGTGTTGCGAGCTGCTTCAGGAGAGATGCAGGCGGCTTGGATCTAAGATAGCCGAGCTGCTGGTCCTTCCCATCTACGCCAACCTGCCGTCAGACATGCAGGCCAAGATCTTCAACCCCACCCCGCCTGGAGCCCGCAAGGTGAGACCATGTCTTCATTTCTGTGAACAATACTTCAATAACTGCTATTAGTTCCCTTTGCAATTATATAAGAATAAGATGAACCTTTTATTAATCCTTGTGGGGAAATTCAGTAGTTTAACAGCAACAGGGTAAGGATGAAAAACAGGACAGCACAGATTCAAAAGATACAAATTAAAAATGATAAAATAAGAAATGAATTAAAAGGAACATATAGACATATTGGGTCATAGATACATATTAGATATATTTACATGTGTGTGTGAAAACAGTGTGTATTTTATGTCCAGTAATTGTGTCATAACTTGGGTGTAGTAGATCCCTGTAGGATTAATTTCATCTTGGCAGAAACAAATGGTCAGTAAACTATGAAAACATATAACATATCTTAATGTAAATAACACAATAGCTCTGTCCATGCTATCTACCAATAGAGGCTGCTGTAGTACAATGGGATTTGTTTTACGGCCCGTCCACACTGTAGCTTCAAAAAAAGCTTGGAGCTGGGTGTGTCTGAAGCTTGGGGATTTTATTCGAGCACCGCGACCAACAACCAATCACATGAATGTCCCGCCCCCGGCATACAAAGCAAAAAACCCCGTGGATTTTATGCGAGCAATATATATATAAACTCCCCAAACAGGCGAAAACCTACCAGTTTCACCCACTGTCTCTGCCACCTCCCTCCATGCCTGGTTCCTCCGGTTTGTATCCCGGTAGGTGAACAGAGACTGATCGTCAAAGAACCGGGTGATTTGCTACCGTAATTTCTCGTTTGGAATATGAGGAAATGAACTGCGGTCTGGCTCTCCCAACTTGCACGCCGATTGAACTGTCAGATTTGCATAAACAGGATTTGATTAGCTGACGCTGGCTACTCCGGCGTCTCCGGTTTCAGAAGTTGAACATTGTTCAGCTTTTGCAGCCTGAAACGCCTGAATTGGCAGACGCGTTGGAAACCGTTTTTGAAGCTGTCGAAGCTGTAGTGTGGACGGGCCGTTAGAGACTTAGTCTCCTAGTTTTCTTGTGCTGTTCGGTAGATTAAAGCCTTGGTGTCTTTATCACATCTTTGTTCCCTTTGTTTAACTGGACTTAATCTTCCTCCTGCTTTGTTTGAGTGTTGCTTACTCACTTTATCACTTGGCACTGTGTGTTCTCTCTCTATCAATCCCAGGTGGTGGTGGCTACCAATATAGCAGAAACCTCCCTCACCATAGATGGCATCATCTACGTCATTGACCCCGGATTCTGCAAACAGAAGAGTTACAACGCCCGCACGGGCATGGAGTCCCTCATCGTAACACCCTGCTCCCGGGTAACTACTCACTGTTTTTATTAGAGCTTAACAAACAGGGAGTCTATGTTGAAGTGAGGTGTAGAGAGGTTTTCAAAAGTCCCTTACGCAGGCTAAAGCTGTGATATTTTAGAAAGGCTAATTATTAGTGCCTGTAAACGTTTTGTCACCTCCTGCTGTCTGTCTCTGTTTCACTCTCAGGCTTCAGCCAACCAGAGAGCAGGCCGTGCAGGCAGAGTGGCTGCTGGGAAATGTTTCAGGCTTTACACAGCCTGGGCCTTTAAACATGAGATGGAGGAATCGACTGTGCCCGAGATTCAGAGGACCAACTTGGGAAATGTCGTCCTGCTGCTGAAGAGTCTAGGTGAGCGGGGGATCCACTCTCTGGTGGGACATAGAGACCAACAAACTGATTTTATTGGATGTGCAATAAGGTATTCCTTTTTGCTTGCAGGCATCAATGACCTCATTCACTTTGACTTCATGGACCCACCTCCTCACGAGACTCTGGTGTTGGCGCTGGAGCAGCTCTACGCCCTGGGAGCGCTCAACCACCTCGGAGAGTTGACCAAGGTACAGACTCAGGGCACACAAACTCCCTTTACCCTTATTAGTAGATTCATTTGTTATTCATATAACAACATGTATCAAATATGTCACATTTGATGTGAACGGGCTCAGTCATGGGGTGAACCTACAGAGAAATATCACCAGAATCTGAGGCTCCCCTCAGCTTTGCAGAGCTTTAAAAGCCCGGGGGCGGCAGTTTTTTTTCTCTGTGTCTCAGGGCATCTTAACATTTAAAAACCTATTAATGTGTCATACCCACTTAACGGGAAGGAACTCAGCTAACTGACGATACGAGCCATTTTTACGAAACAAACACAAGTCTCACAAGAAGCGAAAGATTCTAACGCACTTGGCACAGAACTCACGGTAGAAACACTTTATTACTTTTCGGATCTGCACAAACAAGATATCAGCTAGCAAGCTGAGATTCCACAGATTCTGGAGGTATTAGTAACATCACTGTGCGATCAAAACCCGCGGCAGGGGAAGCGAACCCAGACATCACACGACGTAGCTTTACGGAGCAAAAACCTCTTACCTTAGCTGTTGTTCTGATCAAAAGTTGTGTTCAATGGCATTAAAACGATAAAAACGCTGCTGAAGGTGAATCCATAGATTAATCCAATGTACATGTAACGGCGTTACGTAATCAGAATACAAAAATCAAGTAACTGTATTCAGGTCGCGTTACATTTGAAAAACGAGTAATCTGATTACAGTTACTTTCGTAAACCTGAAGTGAATACATTTTGGAATACTTATTGGAATTATTGGTGGAAACATTTAATATTCTTTACTAAAAAGGTACAGCCGAATCATCACAGTGCACAAAACCGCAGATGGACCAAAAAAGGGGACGTTTGAAAAAAATGTGCGGGTCCGCGCAGTGGAAACATGAAGGAACAAAAGTCTGCGTTTAAATCGTGGCGATATCGACACCACTTCGATTTTAAACAAGACCATGGGAAGAATATCACGGTCCAGTGTACCTTGTGTCTTCCAACCACCAATACACTGCCTGCATCAAAGGACTCCACGTCTAATCTTAAAAATCACTTGGAGCTAAGTCAACGTTTGCTTTTTTTTGCTCTCTTTATTGTTGAAATTATATGAAGTCCGTTATCCCGACTTTCGACAAAGTTACCTTACTGTTTCATAAAATGGAAATAAACACAACAAACAAACACACCATGCCCCTTGGTGACCGGAGATCTCCTTCATAAAACTAATAAAAGGGGGAATAATCGGGCACGTGTGTGTAGTTAAAACACATCAGCCTGCGGTCGCTCTTAGCCTTTCTAAGAT